AGCCACGTGTCTTCAACCTCGCTGCTTATGAATGAACAAGTTTCGGGAGAGTTATCGACTCCACCGCCATGAGGAAGAGTGGTTATCCATCCACCGCCCCACCGCCACCGACACAGACTGTCCGGAGAGCCAGAAGGGAGAAGAAACGTCACGGCCGGCATTGCCGATCTCCGCCAACCGCCATCACCCTAGGATCGCCGCCTCCTTCTTTTCTCCTCGCCTGCAAAACAGAGGTCACAAAAACCAGAGCACCAGCCAAATAAAATTGAGAATCAATTCCAGAGGCAAGACCCCTCGCTCAATTGTAAGGATAAGATTAATCATCCTCAAACCACCGCCTCTACTTCCTGTCTCGAGAAGTCTGCAAATCTGGCCTTAGCACCTAGAAGACAACAACAATCGGCTGCGGCGGTTCACCATCTGAAGGGATCGGAGATCGACATACTACTACAGCCGGACAGTAGAGCAAAAGTCAAAAGAGGTAAAGGCAGGGAGGAGCGCAAAGTGATAGAATCTGCAATATCACAACAAAAAGAGACAGAGCGAAACCAAAAAGGCCAGAGAAAAGTAATCCACAAGGAATACTAAAATCAATTGAGAGTAAGGAGTGAACTAAGCACAAAACGAAAGGGAAGAAGAAATCTGAATCGTGTAAAAAAACAGCGGCGGCAACTTCACGATCTGTTGCACGTTCTCTGTTGGGAGAGTTTGTTTCCTCTCTCTCTCTTCTGCCTTGCGAGTAAGGAAGGAAAGTGACAATGGAGGAGCGGAGTAGAAGAAGATAAAGGAGGAGAGAGAGAGAGAGAGAGGCCGGCAGGACATAAATCAAACACCTTGTGTAGAGAGAAACTAACACCTCTAGTGATGAGAGAAACAGGTGTAGAGAGAAACATGTGTCTTCCTACCTTGTGTAGAGAGAAACATGTGTCTTCTTACAATACTATTATTTTTCTCTCTACACCTTGTGTAGAGAGAGAGACAGGTGTCTTCCTACCCCAATCTAGTGATGAGTTCAGAATTGAATATGACTGTACAATACTATTATTTTTAAAAATATAAAAGTTAGGTACGCTTTATTGGACAACATTTTCGCTACTGTTTCATTCATGTCTTGGATTTTAGTGAGAAACCTTCTCACAGCCACCCCTGGAAAAACCTTCTCGCAGCAAGCTCCATCCTTCCCTTGCTACTGCCCATACTTTCCGTACTCCATCCCTCCAATCCCAAAATCTGCAATTCAGTCATCGATCCCACGTTATCTCACAACTACGGTTTGCTTCTCCAAGTGGTGAACTCTTCACAGCTGCTCCACACGCCATTGGCCATCCATTTGTATAGTCCTCACCTTACTCTGGATTAAAAGAAGACTTCCCTTCTATGCCTGGACCAATTCAATTTAAGCTACAACAGCTATTTCATTCATTTGTTTCTCTGTTGTCAATTTCCACAACCTCTCTTCCACCAATCTCATACCAATTACCTCTACTGGCCGGCTGACCACCATGAATCTTGGAAATCTATGTAGGTCTTGATGTCCTCAGGGAAGCTCTGTCGCAGAATTCAAGGATCGGATTCGATGCCTTCCTCTGCGGCATTAAGGGCAACAGTCTGCGTTGTTGGAGTCGACCTGCACAATGCCGAAGCCCATGGAAGCCACTCCAGCTTGCCGACTTACTTAAGTGATGGTTCTTGCTGGATTGCCGGTCACTCTACAACACGGTATGATTCCCCTATTTTAACTCCCATATTTTCTTCTCAAGAAAGAAAAAATCGATCTCACTCTATACCTGGATTTGATTTCGATTCATTCCCCATCTATTTTGTTTCTCATTGCCATTAACTCAGCCAAAGGAGAGGCTTCACTCAGCCGGTTTTTCTCAGTTACTCACAATCTCTCTTTGCTTTCTGAATTTTAGGGTTCTGGTCCAGTTGGAATGTGTTTGATCGATTCCTCAGTTTATGTCAACCCTCCTATGCAGCTCAGCAAGAAATTGCAGGCTAAATGCAGTGTGAAAGAACATCTTGGCGAGAATTGACAGGATCAGGTAATCCATATTTAGAAGTTTTCACCTTTTTATTGTTCATCTGAATGTAATGGTTCCATGTTGAGTTGTTAACTTCATTCCATGTGATATGGAGAAGATTGATTTGCTTGAGTGAGAAACATTGCCCAGAATCAAGCCATCAAGATGCATCGTAATGTAAACTTCCCTTCTATTGTTCAACCTTTCAGTTCTTCCCATCCTTACAGCCGAAGGTCATACTTAAATTATTTGATGAGGTTCTACTTATGAGTTGCTAAATTTCTTTCGTCTTTCTTTTATAATATCTCTCACCATCTGTTGAGCATCCTCAGCATCACAGTATATGCATATGTTATTTTTAATCTATGTCAGCAGAGCTTGATGATTATAGTTTGATGATTATTATAGTTATAGTGAGACTTAGTGCAAAGCTTTCAGTGGGAACTCTTTAACTCTTTTCATTGGGAAATTTTTTGGTAGTCAGTAACAAATGGGAATCGAGCACAGGCTGGTAATGTGTTCGAGTCCCAGCCTCAAGTTTTGCGAATTCCTGTTGCTGACAATCGAGAAGGAACAACATGAACTACTCGGTATCAAATCTCAGTTCGTAAGAGAGAACATGAAGCCCAGTTTTCTGGTAAGCTTCCCATCTATATACTTCGTTTCCACCAAAAGTGAACTCTTCTCCTCCTCCAGTCCTCCAGACACTAACTTTACTTCCCGACCAGAACCTGTTCTAAAGTGGAATTGACACTGCTGCATTGACTGTGAACTGGCCTTTACCAGCTCTTTGCTGGTGGCAACTCTTACATTTCATCCGAATTTTGTCATTCTACCTCTCAACTATGGAATATTACTTCTGCACAATGGTATGCTGGCCTCCTGTCAGCATTCTCAAATTTGGATAACAAACTAGATCATAGTACTGCACCGGAAATGAGGTGGTGTTGTTATTTAAAGTCACTTCCATTTCATATAAATCAAAGAACCATATGTATATGTTAGTCCCCTTTTTCAATAGATTTTCGACCCTTTAACGATGAGGTGAGCCAAAGACCTCTACAACTAGGCATAAGCTTCGGTTTTATTACAATATGCGTGTATAGATTTTTCAAGCAAATGAACATATATGTTTATGTCGAATGATCTCACTTTAACCAGAGCTATTTGTTAAACGTGCACTTGAAAATGACTGATATTGGCCTTCCATGATCTGCAATGCTACAGGTTTGTACTCTGTTTGACCAACAATGATGAAAGTTGTTTGTTAATCCCTTTATGCATCCGTGGAGACTTGCCAGAGCAGCTGATTCCGTTTTATGCACCGCAACTTCACAGTATGGACTTATAATTCGTTTTATGCACTTCAACTTCACAGTCTAATGAAACTCTTTTAACACTTGCAGAGCAGTTGACTGACGTTGAGTGCCTCAAATTGGTTTCTCTCGAGCAGTCTGAAAGACGTCATAAAATACTTATTAATCTCTCTATATCACTCTTCTGCTGCAAACTACAGAGAGATATGGTTAGGATGAATATCACTCTTCCGTTCAATCCTAACTAATGCTTCTTTTTAGGTCCCTTCTTTGTGTTCTTTTCCAATTCCAACCAATTATGGCTCACAATGAGTACATACAAGTTATTTTCAAATTGTTGTGTGGCTTGAAGGTTTTGACTTGAGTGCTAAACATTCTTATATTATCTACAAGTTGAAAAAGATAGACATGCAAGTCTGTTGGCCTATTCGGAAGCTCGAAACTTGAAGAACATTATGGTTTTTTTTGTGTGCAGAGGGTGAGTTATAGATTGGACGGTTGCAAATATGTCCTTGCTTACTTCATTTACAGAAATTGGATAGATAGCTTTTTCGAAAGTAATGTTGAACTTCTTTCCAGTCATGAATTGCTTTTTTTTATTATTATCTCTTCATGTTTTTCAAGAAGCAATTGCTCGGCTGGAAATATTGGGTGATGAATCTCACAGGGTGAACTTGATACATAAAAGATTTATGTCTGATCGCTCTTCACCCAAACTCAATGTGAGAATTCTACTTATCATCTTCTTCCTTAGTTTAAGAATTTTGCTCAATGTTCTCAAATATGATTAACATTATCTTCAGGTTTGGTATAGTGCTTGGAGAGGGAGAGTTGGTAGAGTTTATAAAGGTTGGCTCAATGAGTGAATCACAATATCAATGTTGCATATCATGGTCAGCCGAGTTGGTATTGGATCCCAATAATGAGCTTCTGCTGTCTTCTTTGCAAGGATTTTGAACCTCTTTCGCCAGCCATTTGTTTGGTACGTGAAGTTCGTTTGTTTGTGAAGCTTTTACACACTATTGTGGCCGCTACTATTTGCTTTTGCCTAATTGACTGTCTTTCATTTGTTTGACTTGACCAAAGTTTGCTTTCTTTTGTTTTCAGTGCTTATGGACGATCAAAAGGAAGCGGAGGATGTGGAAGAGCTAATTAAGGTTGTAGCTTTGAAACCCGAATTGCAAATTCTACACCTTCGAGTTGCATTTCTTATAGTGATTGTTGTTCTAATGCCTGCCAAAGCTTGCATATCAGAATGGTAGAGTAGACCAACAAATTTGTTTTGGGTTATGTACGTAGAAGGTAGTAGCTTTATGATTATCACATTAGTATTGATTCTAATTATCACATTTCCTTCGGGCTGTCCATCATTGCCAATACTATAACCCCGGTTTGTCGTCACCTGATTTGTCCACCATACGATCTTGCTGCTGCAACTTTAATTCCCGCGGCGGAGCAGCGGATATTGATTCTAGTATCTATCTCTATACCTGTCACTTATCTATCTTTAGACTTCAGTTCATCGGTTCAAAATTTCACCTAAATATGTTATAAATGAGATCGATTAATTCGTAGCAATTATATCTATGTGGTAAAATTCTTGTTTTAACCCACAATTCGACTTTCGGATTCCACATATCGCTTCCCATTTATTCATTAAGGGCCAGGCAGAATTCCAGTATACATGACATGTGAATCATTAGGGACATGCTTAGTAATAGTAACCATTCGTTGAAAATCATAATACAAAGATACGTATAATAAACTAACACAGTACAGAAACCAAAGATGTTATCATTAATCCCAGAAGCTAAACAAACTTCTTATCCTTATAACACTAGCTATTACTTTCTCAGCTCTTTGATGCTTCCGAAATGCTTGGGATATCTACTGACAATTGCTGCTTGAATACCTGAAGATCAGTAAGATTTAAGATAGTAAATTTACTACTACATTCTTAGCAGCAAAAAGAAAATCTGCAGTGGGGTAGAGAAACTTTATATTACCATTTTGAAGTGTTCAAGTTCTCCCCTTAAATCCTTCTTCATTTCCTCTGAGAGCGAAATAGGTTGGTCTCCTGCGTGCTTCAATACCTGAACCCTAAATCAGGTCAAGTGAGCATCGAATTTTCTTGCAAAAGGCAGCTTAAAAGAGAAAAAATACCAGTCTAAATCCCCCATCGAGAGGTGAAAGTTCCATATCTTCGAAGTTCAGGCGTTTGTTCTTCTGCAATACTACTGACATCCTAATGATAGTACAGAGACCTTGAAGTTTCTGCCTGAACTGAAATCAACACATGAATGCATGAGATATATTCCCCTACCTCAACCCTCTTACAACAGGATATGGGAGCAGTAACAGATACCTCTTCTGGAGTCTCGGCCAAAGAAGCCTGATAAGGTTTTGGGAATTTCTTCGTGTGATGCCTCGCCAGAAGTGCTATTAACTGCAATGTTAGGAATAAGGTTGCTTGAGCAGACAGGCTTCGCAACCAAACAGTCTTTTGTCCATAAAACCGCAAACCCAAAGGTGCCCCCAATAGTTTACCTTGATCTCTTCAGTACTGAAACCGTAAAGATGGTTTCCTTCCTAAAGCAAGAGACACATTCATCAGCACATAATCTTATAAACATTTACATTTAGTAAGGAAATTGAATGCTGCTAATGATGCAATGCATACCATGATAACACGATAAGACTGCTTGTGGTAACCCCTTTTACCAGCGAAAAGCCCTATGGCATGAAGCAAACAGGCTGCCTCAAGGCACTCGAGATCCTCGCCACCCAAGTCAATGAGCTTACCACAGTGCCTCAAGCCTTCAAATATACCCTGCCACAATCATCATCAACTCAAATTAGAGATCAAACAATGTATGTCAATCAACAACAAGCAGAAAACATGAATCTTACCTTGGCAAAGGCGGCACATCTAGCGCCATTCTCAACCCTCTTCTTATTATTAAACCTGGTAGCAAGTCTCACAACAGAATTCCACCTGGGATTCGCATTCAATTTGAAACCAACTTCATTGAATTCCTCCTTCAGAGCTTCAGCAACGACACCTTCTCCCAATGCATACTCGGAAACTTCCATTTCTTCAATCCCAAGCAACTCAAATATCTCCTCCAATAACAGAGTACCAGCCACAATAAATTCTGATCTCTTCTTAAAAAGCTCCTCTCTTATCTCCTTCTCTTCTTGCCCTTCTTCTGTACATAACCTCTCAACAACTCTCTTCAATTCCACTCTGCTGAATCTCCAATCCCTCTTCACGTGCCTCCTCAACAGCTCCTCAGCTGACGTGTCAGTTTCAGCTGCCACGTTGACTAAATTGTAGCTGAGAGTTCCATCAGGAGAGACAAAGTTAAATGATCAGAGGGAAAGCCTTGCTTACCATCGCCATAGCCATGAAACACTGCTTTCTCGACTGCTCCAATCGTTCCCGAGCTTCCAACAGCGACCTCAAACCCGAATCTCTTCACTTGCTGAACCAATCCAGAGTCCTTCACAGCTGCCCTGATGAAATTCCTCATTCCTCCTACCACATCTCCACCAGCGAATCGCTGAGTCAAACTCACATGACCTAGCTTCAAACTCGTCGCGAAATCGACGATCCCTCCTTCTCCAATCGCGAACTCAGTCGATCCACCTCCGATGTCTATGAGCAACGCTCTCTTTTCCCTGACCGGAAAAAACTGAATCACTCCGGAGTAGGCGAGTCTCGCCTCCTCTTCCCCGGAGAGAACGGAAACGTCGAGCCCGGTGGCTGCGCGAACGGCTTCGACGAGCTCGGATCCGTTGGCGGCCTCCCGGACGGCGGAAGTGGCGACGCAGCGGGTTCGGCGAGGCGGGATCCCGCGAGCGCGGAGGATTTCGGTGAACTGGCGGAGGCATCGGAGAGCTTCGAGGACCGCGTCGGGGGAAATCGACGGGGAGGAGTTTGATGATGCGGCGGCGGAGTCACGGCCGAGGCAGACACGGTCGGAGTGGCGGGCGACGGTGAGGAATCGGCCCGACGGCGGGTGGAATTGGACGATGATCATCTTGATGGAGTTGGTGCCCATGTCGATGGCGGCAAATAGATCGTCCGGCAGCGCCATGGGAGAAGAATGGAAGTTATGGGGGGCGCGAAATGCTTTTGCCTGCTTACGATGGCGGCAAATAGATGCTTTAGCGGCGGAGCAACTTCCCGGAAGCCAAAACGAACGGCGAAGCCGAACGCGAGCCGCCTACGAAAATTCTCGGAACGGCGTTTGCGACTGGAAAATTGGAGATAGTCAACGGAGGGCCGGCGGGAAACGAAGGAAGAAAGGAGGCCAGTGAGGGAAACACGGGGGTGCAGACTGCAGAGAGAAGTCCGAAGACTGAAATCCCCCGGCAGAAAAAGGAATGAATTGCGAGAAGGTGTGCGAAACGCGATACATTTAGGCGCGAGATGTTGAATTCCTCAGGGAAACACCCGATGTATCAGGAAAAAACATTAGTCAGTCATGAAAATACAATGATGGATAAAATATAGGCAACAAATTTCAATTATAGTTGTTGACACCTAAAATTATTTTAGACCGAATTTAATGCCGCATGGAGGAGTCTTAGCATTTAATTCGATATCGCATGATATGAAACGACGTCGTTTAGTATTGAGCAATGTCGCGGAGAGTTTAATCGACACCGCGAATAAGCTCGACGGTACCACGGTACTGGAAACGATGTTGTTCGGTAAAATCTATGTCGCGAGCCTGAGTTACGAATTTATCCGGCTTCACAATGTGTGAGTCATGGGCCGCAGGAATTGTATTGTTGTTGGACAGGGAGTGTTTTTGTTATATTCCTTGTCAGAGGAGGAGAGAAACAACACCGTTTGTAGTCAAGCAATGTCATGAAGAGATATAACGGTGCCGCGAAACTCAAAGCTCAACGGGATCGTGAGACTGGGAAACGATGTTGTTGACTAAAAACGACATCGTCGAAATCCCAACAACACTACGATACTGGCAAACGAGGTGAGTCTTCGTTACGGAACCAAGATTGACAGTGTTTAATCGAAACAATGTCACGATGACCAAGTTTTCAGAATGGCTGGTTTAATTAATTAATATTTTTAATAATTATTTTGGACGGTGTCGTTTAGTTGGTGAAAAATGGTCTTATTATTTTTTTTTAAGATCTCCTATGACTAAGCTTCAAGTGAAACATAAAAATATTTGACTAGGCCTAAATGAAAGATAAATAAAGCAGTCTAATTGTCTTTTGGATATCTTTCTCTTCAAATGAGGGCGGACACAGAGGATGTTCAGGCCAGAGGCTAATCTTCAAGATAATTGGAATGACAATACTCTCGGCCAACGCCGCGAGAGGTATCATCAATACCGCGGATTAGAAAATGACAGTGTTTAATATAAAACAATGTCGCGGAGGAAAAACAAACAGAGCTGTTTAGGGAAGAAAACGACACCGTGAGTAAGCCCAACAACTGCGCTACTTGAAACGACACTGTTTAGTAGAAAGCAATGTCGTGAACCATGGGTCATGGATTCATTCGACAAAGGTCTGCATCACAACTGTGGTCTCGGCGACGTCGCAGAGTTGAAAACGATATCGGGTGAGGTCCCAGCAATGGCGCGGTATTGGTGAGCGATGTCGTTTGATTAAAAACAATATCACAGTGGTAAGAAACGGCCCGCCAAGTTCAATGAGGTTGTTTAGCACAAAACAACATCGTGAGTTCAGATTTGACCATTTTTATTTAATTAAAACAAGTAAAATACAAACGGCGTTGTTTGGTGAAGAAAACAACGCCGAATAGGCCCAACGACGTCGCGACATTAGAAACGACATTGTTTGGAAGGGAGCAATGTCGTTGAGCAGGGGCCCTCAATGTTGCGAAGTGAGATGTGGTGCCGATGTTGTTTAACCAAAACGACATTGACCACTGTCAATCTTTGCCGACTTAGGAAATATGGTCGACGTTGGGCCATTAAACTTGTTTTGCATGACAATAAAAGCAGGCCGTGAGGTCATCCCCGAGATTGGTCCAGCTTGGAGAAACTCAGCAACACCGTGAATTCAATAAAGTTCGGGCATCAATGGTGGGAATTCGACGATGCCGGGGTACTAAGAATAACGTTGTTTGGTAGAGAGCAACGCTGTGAGTCAAAAGTGGCATTGATATTGTGAGTTCATCGATGTTGCACGGCCGGGAGCTCAATGATGCGATGTTATTTTGCTACGTCGTCGTTTTATGAACAAGGGTGATTGTTGTTTGGTTTGAGTAGCTGGGGTGGATTATCAAACCCGGGTGGATAACAATAAGGTTGGCTCAACGTTGTTTTGCTAAGTCTCTACAGAACGAATTCGCATGCGTGGGTGGCACGCAACGAAGTGGAAGTTACCAACACGGTTGAGGGAATGGAAAACATGGGAGGAAAAGACGCGAAGGCGGTTACTGCGACTATAGGCAGAGGATTGGAGTATAAATATCGCGAAGAGAGAGAAGCTCGAGACGGAAAAATCAAATCACCAACTGCACCGTCGCAGAATCTATCTTTGTTCTCTCTAGTTCGTAGAACTGCTCTGTCAAAGATCTCCTTTGCAGATTCGTAGTAGTCATAGAGTCGTAGTTGTAGTCGCGGAGCTCTCCAGAGAAACCTCCATAGGTGTAGAGGTAACGTAATTTAGAAATCCTCCTTGTTTCCTCATTGTTCGTCGAACAAACTCGTTCGAATATTGTTTGAAGAGCTGTGAATCGAGTAACGATCGTTATTGGTTAGAAGTCAGAGGTGCACCGATCAAATTAACATCGCCCGACACCCGACGATGGATATTTGACGGTCATTCTTTGATCTTGTGTTCTTGTTTTTCCTTGAAAACAGAGCGCATTAAACACGCATGTTCACCATCGAAACAAATTGGCACACCTGGTGGGACCCGTGTGTTCCTGATGCCTTCGCGATGAAGGAATCTGGAAGGGGATGTTCCGCCCGGCTTTGTGGAGGAATAGGTGGTCAGCATTGAAGGTGGCCAAGAAATCGGTGCTGAAGAAAGCGGCGGGTTTTAGAATCTGCATTCCACAGCTGGGTCGATTGAGGATTTGTCAATCCGCCATTTCATGGAGGAGAATCGCCAGATGTTTGATAGTCTCATAAATGAGGTAAGCCAGCAGAACAACTCTCTCGAGTCTTGTGTTGACAGGCGTTTAGGCCAAATCTTTGAAGTTGTGACTAAAAAAAAGCATGATTTTGATATTTTTGTGGATAAAAATCTTCGTGATATGAATGAAATTAGAGAACTTTTGGGTAGAACAGTGACGCAAACTCGGGATTTGCCGCTAAACGGCGAAAAAAATTTAAACAACGAAACTGGTTTTCCAAACAATGGTGCTCGAATTAGCCCGCCGAGATAGGGAGTTCCACCGACACCGGTGATGAACCCACCAACTCCGCAAGTGAATCTTGGCGAGACTAGCACTGCCGCTAACACTCATGTTGAACCACCGCCATTTCACGGTGGGGGTCCACAAAATATCTCGGAGGCCAGACCCTATGTGGCTCCGATGAGTGGTGTTGTTGGTGGAGGAACGATCAACAATGATCATGCTCCACCACGCGGCTACCTGAAAAACGTGCCTCCTCTTCCAAACATGCATGGTGTGGATCCTGGTGGATTCATGCCGCCAGGGGGGGCAACTCGGGGGGCAAGACGTGAACGCCATTCGAGATCAAGTAGTACAGATGCTGGCGGTCAGTTTGGTTTATGGATTAGATCAAAGATGCCGCCGGTGTACCGAAAACCATATCCAGACTGGGTTGATAGGTACTACCCTTTTCCACGTTGTTTTCGTGCTCCTGATTTCATCACCTTCAACGAAACAACAAATCAGTCCACCGTCGAACACGTTGGACGATTTACTGTTTAGTGTGGAGACGTGAGTGATTTCCTAAAGCTTCGTTTGTTTGGCAACTCGTTGACTGGTCCCGCATTCGCGTGGTACGTCAACTTGCCATCCAATTCGGTTCAAACTTGGAACAAATGTTACATGCTCAGTTCTACCGTTCTGAGCCAGAGGTAACAATGACAGACTTGGCACGAATGCGCCAACAGCAAGGAGAAACGGTGGAACACTTTTTAACCAATTTTAAGAACGCAAGGAATCGCTGTTTTGTAAATTTGACAGAATGCGAATTTGTTAAACTTGCTCAAAGTGGTTTAAATTTTGAACTACGTAAAAAATTTCAAGACAGAAAATTTTCATATCTGTTCCAATTGATGTCCCGTGCTGTTAGGTATGAGTCCCTTCTCCATGAAGAAGAGCATAGGAGAAGTGGCTCTCATGGACAATAATTTTCTAATTTTGAAAACTTTGGTGTGAATCATGTCGACAGTGATGTTGACGAGGTTGAAGTTGATTTGGCTGAGATTGTGCAGGGGAAGACATAAGTGTGTGCTTCTCTAGCCAAGCCGGACAGGGAACCACAAGGTGGAAAGCCTAATCGTGCTCTAATTCAACCTAGAAAATATTCCTTTGATGTTACAAAATCAGATTTGATTTTCAACCAGCTTTACAAAGATGGTCAAATTAAATTGACTGGAGGGCATACTATCCCGCCAGCTGAAAAATTAAAAGAAACGATACTGTAAGTGGTACAACAGTGCATCTCATTCAACTAACATGTGTGTGGTGTTTCGAAACATGGTGCAGGATGCCATTGAAAAAGGTCGGTTGAAGTTATCAGAGCCGAGAAATGAGGCCATGATTGTTGACATGGACCCGTTTGCCAATGTTGTTGGCATCAATATGGCCAACGTCGTAGGGGCAATGTTTTCGAAGCTCCTTTGAACCATGGAGACTTTGGTCCTCCAAAAATTAGGAGTATGGAAGGGGGACCATGCAACGTCATAATTTCAAGCCCAAAGGTGTTGAGTAAGGCGTGTTCCCGTGGTCCGAGATTGTGAGACCATCCATGTCCGTATTAGATGGTCCACCAAATTCTGAAGTACAAGTCGATAATGAGTAATCCACCTCAAGAGAAGGTGCTGGAGGCCGAAATCACGGCCTTGCAAAAGAAGTTGGCTATTTATGAATGTGAACAGAGGCTTAATTTTAGGAAGCCTATGTTAATGGCCGACTGTGTTCCCGATGCTGAGTGGGCGGTCAACAATGATGGTTCGAGTCACGAGGTGGAAGAAGGATTTAGTGTTGCTTGCGACATTGTGATAGAAATCAACCTTGGCGCGAATGAGGATCCACATCTAGCCTTAATCGGCGCCAACTTGCAGAATGCTGACATGTACAAGTTAATTGAATTTATGAAAGAAGTAGAAGTTTTTATATGTGATTATCCCGAAAAGTTGCATGTGCCTGTCATAGTCATGTTGTTTAGACAATTTATAGATTTTATCTTAGATTGTCGAATAAGTGAA